ACAACCGAGAGACGCGCATAAAACTCCTCGGAGTGTTCCGCGAGGGAGCCACGCGAATATCATAGATCAAGCTGTCGGGGCCCTCGGCCGGGTCGACGGGTCTTTTTCCGAAGTTCTTCGTCGAACTTCTTCGGAGTCACGACGTCTGCGTGCCGCAGTAAATCATCAGCGATTTCGGAATCGGTTCGCGGAACATCGATAAACCAGAAAATGAGAATCACTGGCCCTCCTCGGGATACGGAGTGTTGGCACAGTGCTCGTGATCGATTACTCGTCATCCGCGCGCGATGTCCCGAGTTCGACGCCCACCGCCCGCTGCCAAACCAAACGTACTTCTTCCTCTTTTTTCCCCTCCGCCTCCTCCCCCCGCCTCCTCCTGTCTCCCTGCCACCCCCGGCCGCCCTGTCACAGCCTCCTCTCTCCTACCCCTGGGCCGCCCCTGCCCATCTGCCTCGGTCTATCTATCGGTCTTTCTCTCGGCTCTCCTCTATCCGGTCCATCCGTTTCCCTCTTTCGTTGCATCGACCGTAGGCTCTACAACGTAGATAGCCGCTGCCACCGATGGACGTGTACGAGAGGGCGCTCCTCCTTTTTCCACCGTGTCTGGCTTTGTGAGAGGCGCGAGTCGGAGAGCGCGGCCTATTCCAGTGACGGAGGAACGAGAGAGATGGAGAGCGAGAGAGAAAGAGGAGCAGGGGAACGCTGCGAGCCACCAGTCGATCTCTGCCAAATCAAACTTAGGTCACTCTTTCGTTTTACTGGGTCGTTTCCGTTTCGAGGGGCTCCTTCGTTCCGGCTATCGATTTTGTCCACCTTGGTCACCACCTTGGGCACGTTCCTGCTTTCCTGCGGCCCCTTCTCGGGTGGCTGGCGGGAGGGGGGTTGATCTCGTGGAAACGCCAGGGCACACTGGGGGCGAGTGTCCTTTTTTTAGCATTCTCTCCAGTTTTTGAAACAATTTTTTCTATGCTCGATGCAGTAAAAGATTATTGTTGAATCTAAAGTTTGCAAAGTTAAATTAAAAAACTAAAGTTGTTGTCCCATTGTGTAAAACTGCTCGTGCAGAACCTGCATACGAAATCATTTATCGAAAAAATAGTTCGTTAAAAAATAGACTGCACAGTTTATGTATTTATAATAGACACGAGTAGATCAGATGCAAGATAGTAAAAACATTTAAACAATGTAAATGTACTGTTGTATTACTGTCGACTAGATAAAATGATCCAAGAAAGCAAGAGATAAATTGTGTTGTTTCTGTATCTTGCTATTGGTGTAAGCAAGTTTTATTATTTTGCATAAAAATCTGCAGTCCAATATACACGCCGAAAGTATTTGTTACATTTTCCAACGTCGAACGAGTTCGCAAAAAAATTGCAGGCATCTACGAGAATCTATACAGAATAATCGAACTGGAGCTTCCACAAAATCACAATTACGTGAATGCAACAAAATTCAGTTGGCCAATATATAAAGTCGTGTGAAAGTCCCTTCGGTGCAACGTGAAACGAGGCCTTGATTAGCACCATTATTATTAAAGAGGCGTAATGGTAGGCGGAAATTGGGGTGGCCAAGTCACGGGGGACGTTTCCAGAACAGAGGTGTCTCGGACACAAGTCACACCCGAATTGCTGCCAATTCTCTATCGTCGTTGGCAGTCGTCCATTTTTCCTCCCCTCTCACCTGGCCGCCGGTTCGACGGCCCCCGACGCGCGAGGAGGGGTCCAAGAAATTCATTCGTTTCGGGAAAGTTGAATTTCCTCGAGGCTGAATACCTACAGAACACCTCCGGGGGTTTTTTGATTGCCGCGACGGATCTTGAAGGGTCGAGTCTTACGATTTTATGGTAATGGAAGGGTTGCCGAGGACCGGAACTGACTTTTGAGGCGAAGGAATATTGGGCGCTGCTAATGAGGCCGGGACAAGGGTGATGCGATTGGACGAGCTTTAATAGCTGCACCGAATTATCTGAACCAACCTTGGTTCGTCCAGCAATGAGTATTTAATTGTTCAATTTGAACGCGCAATATTATGTACAGTACTTCTTGAAATTAATGCATTACCGTCCGGGTGACTGAAATAATCATTTTCTTGATTGCTCGTGAAATGCAATTTGATATAAAATATCTGATAATAAAATTTATTCGTGTAACATATCTTACGATTTACTTCAACTGTCTACTACTTTATATAAGCTATATATATTTTTGTAAAGTAATGCAATAACCTTAAAATATGCCAGATACGCGCAAAAGTGTTGATTCGCCTTGCTGCGATATTCAGCCACTTTAGAGGGGGCAAATTCGAAGATAGTTTTTGGAAACGTGGTCGCTATAAAAGTATTTGTCACGCATCGTTTTCTGTTGAAGGGTTGAACCTCGAGGGTTGTTTTTATATCGCCGATGCGAACGGTCGCCGGTGAAAAAAATTGGTTATCAGTGGGAACAACGTACGTGGCAAATATTTTTTGGAAAACTATATCGAGGTTTAACCGAAATCTGGCGTGCGATAAAAGTTACCAGCCATTTTTGTTGTATCTCGGAAACGGGTTACGCGGTCTCGATGAAGCTCGGCGCACCTTTGAAACAACCCTTGCTGTATTCGTGTGGGCAACCATTTTGTTGCCAGTCACGTACTTTCGACAGTTTCATTAATAATGTCTTGATGTACAGAATATAAGGTTCCAGTCTGCGAATAAAATCCATCAATCTTAATTTTCCATTTTCTTCCAGTGCGAAATAGATTGCCAGCCAATTTTTGTTCCGCGCAACGGTAAATAATCCACGTTGCTAATTTAGCAGCTCAACCCTTATCGGGCGTCAGATATTTAGACCTAATAAAACGGCCCAAGTCTCGTAATTCGGAAATGGGGGGTTCCCGAGATCATTCAAAGCAACTTTTTCCTTTGCGAAAATGCAATCCGCGGGTCCGTTTACGAGTTATTAACAAAAAAACAGTGACCAATGAGATGCGAGATCAGCTGGCGCGAGACGGACGCGCCAATGAGCGGAACATCGGAACTTCGTGCGCTGGTTGACTGGGCCACCTCACGTCAGCCGAGCTCGTCTCTCATTGGTCACTGTTTTTCGTTAATAACTCGTAAACAAAGCCGCGGATTGCATTTTCGCTAAGGAAAAAGTTACTTCAAATAATCTCAGCAATCCCCCATTTCTGTATTGTGAGACATTTTTGGGACATTCTGTACAATGCCACGTGGGACGTGACACGCGTCCGATAAGGATTCAAACTGTCTGTTTTGCTTGTTGAACACAATATCGAAGCGTCTGCATGTATTTTATTATCTTAAAATCATGTAATATAAATGTATAAGTAATCCATGAATTACTATTTAAGATTTATGAATAAGTCCACTCACTTCAGCTCATAATTAAAAAAATATCGCTAAAGACACGCGCAGAAATCTTGAAAATGTATGAAAAGTCTATTGAAATTTCGGTGGCCTGGCAACGGAATAAAAAATAGGATCGAGTTCGGTGATGGAAGTGGAAGCCAGCCCTATTCACGTACCCCATATGACCCATGGATAGGCCACGCCTGTCCCCGTCTCACCTTGATAATAGCCGGCGCGAGGGGTGGAAAGGGATCTCTGTTCCCAGGGGGCGTGTTCGGGGGTTCAACTGTGTATAGATTAATGGACAGATAGGGCTGTTATTATATGGGTCCTCCTTAAGACAANTCGTAAACAAAGCCGCGGATTGCATTTTCGCTAAGGAAAAAGTTACTTCAAATAATCTCAGCAATCCCCCATTTCTGTATTGTGAGACATTTTTGGGACATTCTGTACAATGCCACGTGGGACGTGACACGCGTCCGATAAGGATTCAAACTGTCTGTTTTGCTTGTTGAACACAATATCGAAGCGTCTGCATGTATTTTATTATCTTAAAATCATGTAATATAAATGTATAAGTAATCCATGAATTACTATTTAAGATTTATGAATAAGTCCACTCACTTCAGCTCATAATTAAAAAAATATCGCTAAAGACACGCGCAGAAATCTTGAAAATGTATGAAAAGTCTATTGAAATTTCGGTGGCCTGGCAACGGAATAAAAAATAGGATCGAGTTCGGTGATGGAAGTGGAAGCCAGCCCTATTCACGTACCCCATATGACCCATGGATAGGCCACGCCTGTCCCCGTCTCACCTTGATAATAGCCGGCGCGAGGGGTGGAAAGGGATCTCTGTTCCCAGGGGGCGTGTTCGGGGGTTCAACTGTGTATAGATTAATGGACAGATAGGGCTGTTATTATATGGGTCCTCCTTAAGACAATGGACTCCCGGCAATCTGCGATCTTTTTCGAGGCCTGAACGGAAGGGTAATTTGGATTCGGTTTCTCTCGGAGGCCCGAGGCTCGCGATAACGTCGACGTCTCGGTGTTTTCGAGCTGCTCGGTGATTGGTTTATTGAAACACTCATGAGAGAAACGGGTCTCCTTTTTTTTCGGCAACTGCCCCTTGTCTTGCCCGACCTATAGTTCGCGCTATTCAGCCGAATGCTTTCGAGTGGACGATAAGTATCGCGAAATAATATCAAATAGACTGAACACACAGTTTTGAAACGCTTCGGAGGCGGTTTATATAGCTCGAAGAAAGAGTATGTGATTTTTAAGTGATTGCAACTCATGTGCAGGGATCTGTTATAATTCTAAACGGTAATTTTTCGTATCGGTAGTCTTTCTTGTGAAAGATACAAGTTAAAATTGATTGCAGTTTGTAATCTTCGGAGATCAAAATATTAAGCTGTATATAACAATTTTTTCTGTGAACAATAATGATCTAAATTGATCACACTTTGTTTCATTTTATCGACAATAGAAATTCTTTGTAGAGATTAGCAGTTCTTTCTTAGGAAGATAATAGTATAATTTTGTTTCATTTTCAGACTGTTGAATTCGTTGAGTTTCTTTGTTGGTCTTTCCATTGTCGAAGGGTTCGAGCAAAGCTTTAACAAAAATCAGAGAATTCGGTACTCACCAGTCAGAAGGAAGAGCAGCACGGTCGAATTCATTCCCGAAGCCAAAATTCGTCGAAGTGGAATCAATTCAACGCATTCTCGGCGCATTCCTGCAACAGAGAGCAAATTGTTTAGCGATTCGGGCAAGAAAACCGTGCGGCCAGTTTATCACTTTTCGTTTGCATTCGTTTTTTTTCGCCGCGCAACATCAAACGTTCCCGCGCGCTATCAACGAGAACATACGTAACGCGAATCGAGATTTCCGAGAACTTTGAAATTCGATCAGAATCGGTTACAAGTTCGCTAGAAGAACAAGTTCGTGATTTACAATTTCAATAGAAGTAATAGAGACGTCGAAATCGCAACTCGTGATAATTAATTCGGTAGAACGCGACCGTATTCCCAATGGTCGTGCTACGATTGCATAATAAATTATATAAATTAATTTGTTGTTTCTTCAATTACGGAGCCAGCCCATCAAAGCTTCCGCAGACCAATATTCGTCCCGTGAAAAAAATGTGTAGCGTTGGAAAATCGGGAGACGCGGGATTTTTGTTGCGAATCATGATGTGAAAGGGGCTCGGTCGCTTCGTTAATGATAAGCACACCATTCACGGAAAGTGCACTGTGCAAAATTGTTGCCGCAGAAGTTGGAAAGCGGGTCGCGGTCGATTCGTTAACGCGTTACGGAAAAATCCCATAAAATCAAAATAACGGGAATAATTAATGAGAGCGAGATTAGAAAATAAAAATGTCCCGCAATGTCGAAATCCCGGATGCAAACTTGTTCGATGCGAGCGACGCGGATCGCGATGGAAATGAATTTCTGGTCAAAGGATGCGGTTACGGTCGGTGTAGCGGGAAACGAGTTAATGATGGGGAAAAGCCGCGACAGTTTTACGGAGACCCGTGTAGAAGTTGTTCCATTGACAAAGGCGGAATAATTCACGGGACGACCGCTATGGACGAATTCAATAAATTCGAGTGAATGGGCCGGCGGAAGCGTGACGCTTATTACGGCGTCGGGTTTAACAGATTTTACGGGAGTGTTAACAGGCACGGGGCAAATTAGCATGGTGCCCCTACATCTGCCGACCATTAATCAATTAGTACGTTTCCGCGTGTGCACGAGCCACCGTGTATAACCGCCGTGTCGGCCGACCGAGTTATCATCTCCGTCTCTCCCGTTCTATTCCCCCCCCCTCTCTCTCTCTCTCTCTCTCTCTCTCTCTCTCTCTCCTCGCCGGCGTAAAATTTCGATCGAACGGCCCCGTTAAATGATCGCAACCGAAAAACCGCGGACCGACGACCAAACTGACGTTTAATAACGTTAATAACACGCGGAATCGGTGGAATCCGAGCGGCCGGATAACCTGCACACCCGCCAAACTGTTCCATTTTCGGTTCATTACACCCGAACGCTGAAAAGACACTCGAAATCAATCTTCTCCAACGACGTTTTAACCTTTCGCGTCGTTTCATACAGCGCGGCGCGCGTAGTAACAAATTTTTCGACCACGCGATTCATCGATCTCTGGCACAGAAATTAATATTTTTCATAAAATATTAAGCGCGTGTTGTCGCGTGTTGTCGCGCTTTCATGATTCCCACGTACCGAATTAAATATTTCACAATGCTGTTAATCCTTCGCAATCCTTCGCGCACGGTGCACGAATTAAAAGCGTTTGTTTCACTGCCACAGTTCACTAATTTCCAACACGAAAAATTTCGGTCTGTTTAAACGGAGGTCGGGAAACGTTATTGTTAACTTTTATTATGATGATTCTTTGATGGGTTCCGTTTTAAATATGCCCGCGCACGGAATTAAATGTTTTACAATGCTGTTAATCCTTCGCGTCGTTCCACTCGTCAAACACGTGGATGAAAAATTTGTTCGACGGCAGAATTCGCCGATATTCGATGCGGAAATATTTTTTGACTATTTCATCGGAGATTCAAAAACAACGACGAACATTTCTCTGACAATGCGACTCATCGATTTCCGGTAGAAAAAGAATTTGGTCTATTCAAAAGCCGTTTTTGTAAAACATGTCCGAATTTTTCAACTTTTCATTTCTGCCAGCTCGTTAATTTCTGCTAGAAAAGTATTTCTCTCTCTCTCTCTCTCTCTCTCTCTCTCTCTCTCTCTCTCTCTGTTCCTGTGTACTCGATTTTTTTCTGCGTTGAAATAATATTCTCCGAATCGATTCGACTAACGTAAGAATTGCTTATCCATCGACGAGATAAGAGTTAAACGGAACGATCGAATTTTCCGATAGATTCGCGCCCGAGCAGCCGGATTCTTAACCGGCCAGTACATAATATAAAGGTTTATGCAGTCAAAGTGGGCCGCTTTCCGCGAAATGAAATTGCGTTAGGTAAAAGCGATTCAGCGTTTTCATTGGCCGTTCCGGGAGCTTACTTCCGAGTGCGCCGGCGAATAAAAATGGAAGCCGCACACTTCCGGCCATCGCATCCCGTCGAATTGAAACGTATTAGCCTCGGTGTAGGTACACGTATCAGCCGGTCGATAAGCAATAAGATTGATGGTGCCGCGGCTAAGATATTCATTTATTTCTGAGGAGTGACGTGCTATTTTTCAAGGCGTCGTTCGACGTCCGTATAATACATTTATCTTAATATTTCATGCCGTCGAGGGGAGAATCCGGAAGGAAAAAACGACCACGGTGTATTAATATCGTCAAAGACTAGTCGATGCAAAGACGACTCCATTCGAATCTCTGTACTCCGAGAACATTTTCAAGCCATCGAAAATTAAAACTGTTTGTCGCGGATGGCTTCATAAGAATGACAAGACTGAAAATGTCGTCGACATTTTTACCCTACTGTGTACTTCGACCAAAAGATTTATTCAATTTCTGCCGATGAAAGGGTCGTCATTGAACTGCGGATCTTCGTGCAAAGTAAAAAATTGTTACCTAAGTTGCAAGACATAGGAGTCAAGCACAGGTCCTTTCCTTTCTTTCATAATTTTAATAAGTTCAAATTGATACGTGAACACATTCTTAGTTTCTTTTAATATTTTCACTGCTTTTTGTTAATCGATTGTGATGTTGTATTCTACATTAATAACACAGACATATAAAATCTATTAATAATAAAAGATTACATGTATACATTATTATATGTATAGCATCGCAAAATGCAATATACATATAATAGATACTATATATATAAATAATATATAGGGTGTACCGTAATCAAATTTAAATTATTTTGCTTTTTTATCACCTACAATTTTTTAAATGAATTTAAATAATTAATATTTCTTCTTGTAGTTAATAATTGGGTTATAATGGAATAAATAATATACTATTAATAATTTTATTTGCCGACGGGATAAACTCTTCGTTATATCTCCTCATTTATGCTATAAATGCATAAAATTCGCTGTCCGGTCATCATAACTCCGACGATTTTTAAATAAAATATATGAATAAAAATACACGATAAAATCTGTCATTTTGACCGGCTCGGTAGGTTCAGCGTTGAAATCAAATATTCGTATTTACAGTAACATCGTGTGTTTATGCAGCACATTATCTCCAGATCTACGGGAGGACTCCGACACCTTGTCCTGGCTTAGACTGTATTTAGCCCATACGTGGTACAGATTTAATGAAAGCTTAGCTTGCGTGCGGCACAGATCTAATTTAGGATTAACTTAGACTGAAATCCAGGCTTAAGTTCCGACAATCAAATTCGATTTAGACCTAACCTAGGACTAACTCGGCTTCGAAGCTGACCCCTGCTTGAAGCGATATTAGGCGGATAGTATTGATTCCGGCCTAACAATAGCTCAGCTGATCATTTTTTCACGCCCCGGTTGCGTTAACTGCACTTATAACTAGACCGCGGTATTTTGTGCGAAATGAAAATTGTCTGCATCAATTGCAAGGAATAGAAATCAAGGATGTTGTTAATTCAAGTTCATTCACTTTGAATCATTCTTAATAGATTTGGAATAATACAATGACGTTTTAGGATGCTTTCAATAGTAACACTACTTTCAATCTGCAGTCCAGATATAACTTCGCGCTTTATTTAGAAGCACATTTCTGTCGCGAGCTTGGTTCCGATTAAATCTCAGTCTAATTATAATTCAACAGTACATATATAGCTGATCGTCCTCTAGCGGGGTCAATTTTCCTTGGTTCACAAATCCAAGTTGGATTTAAAACAAATTCAATTTGAACCTTAGAATACTAGCAAACGTGTCTAATCGACGATTCGGCCAGATTTAATTTAGATCAGATTACCAGATCCGATCTAGTTCTAATTCAAACGATTCCCGATGCTCTGGCATCGATAATCCTGGCACGAAGAGGCTTCAAATAGCATTGTCATCGATCAGAGAAGCTACCACTCTAAACGCCACGGTTCTTCTACGTTTTGTTCCCGTGTTTCGTAGTAATTTTTACACTGACAAGCGCGCGGCCGTTTCATTAATTTGCCCAGTTCAAATTCCGGCCGGCAAACAGTCATTCCGTTGAGTTGCAATTAATTGGCTCGCGCTGCAAGTTTTCCATACGCAAGGATTTGTTGTCGATCCTCGAGGCCTCAATGCGAATGCTTGTCGATTGTTGACATTGCGTTTAAATTGGAAAAACCGGGAACGAGAGAGGGAGAGAAAGAGAGAAAGAGAGAGAGAGGAAGCAACATGGCGAAAAAACGCAATAATCTCGACGATTTCGTGTCGGTTATCGCTGGGCGGGCCCAGTTTGTTAGGCGCGCCGAAATTTCGACTACGCGGGCACGTAATTTCCGCGGGTGTGTGCGCGAGCGATAGTGAAACACGAAGGGCGCTGATCGATTAACGATCTTCGCGTGCAATGTGTTCCCGGGAAAATGGAATGCTCGGGAAACAATTTCACCCGCTCACGGTGCACAATTAAACAATAGGTGGGACAATCAAGATAATAAAGAATCAAAAAGATCGAGAGAGAAGCGTCTATCAATGTTCACGCGATTCAAGAAACCTCTGTAGTTGCACCGAGGCCAATTTAAATGAAAATTTATGAATCTATTCAGTTTTCATTTCGTTGTAATTCCTGCAGATATTCTCTTGTATCATATGTATTGTACATTC